CCCACAGAATCTAATCGCATAAAAAAAGTAGCGTCTCCAAAACGCGTCTTTCGAATCTCCGCGTTTTCCATTCGGCGTTCCGACGATGGCTCTCCAGGCCACTACGTTCTGCTTCTCCGGTGCTACTCTCCGATCAACTCCTGATTCACTCACTTCAAAGCGTCGTATCGCCATTAAAGCTGCTTCTTCTACTTCCTCTTCTGGACTCTCTTCTCCGCCGCTGCTCTCGGTTTCACGATCTAATCTCAAAGGTTTGTTTAACCACACGAACTATCTCAAGATTCCTGCATCATCACATTTTGGTTTTCTTGCTCCTGAAATTCTCTAGATTGTTCTGATCCATTGTTCGATTTTACACGAGATGTAATTGTTATGTATAGAAGAAAGTAACCAGAACATGAAATTGCACTCAAGAATCTACTTTCTGCCTCTGGATCTAACTGTACACTTTTGAGAAAGAGCTTTTGCTTTGTCCTGAGTGAGACATTTTTTGCTTTTAAGGAAGAGCGTTTTCTACTGATGGCTCACCACAAGAGTCTCCCTCTGTGGTCTGTTTTGGGGAAATGTTGATCGATTTTGTGCCGACGACTAGCGGGCTTTCTTTAGCCGAAGCACCTGCTTTCAAAAAGGCTCCAGGTGGAGCACCTGCAAATGTAGCTGTAGGTATTGCTCGTCTCGGCGGTTCATCAGCTTTCATTGGGAAGGTGAGGCAAAATTGATTAGTTTTTACTTTTTACAGCTTGTAATACTTTGAACTCTGATTCGATTAGTTTCTTGAAATATGCGAATGTTGTGCTCAGGTCGGTGAAGATGAGTTTGGTTATATGCTTGCAAATATCCTAAAAGATAATAATGTGAACAACGAAGGCTTGCGTTTTGATCCTGGAGCCAGAACTGCTTTGGCTTTTGTGACTTTGACAAGCGAAGGAGAAAGGGAGTTCATGTTCTATCGAAACCCCAGTGCTGACATGCTGTTACAAGAATCTGAGCTTGATTTTGATTTGATTAAAAAGGTAATTACCAAAGTTGATACACTACAAAACACTACACATTTTGATTCCTCGTTGGCCAATTTGATTGTGCTCAATCTTCTTCTTGCTATGTTCTGTTGATACATGATCTCATCTTATAAATTTTCAGAAGATCCGTAAATAACGATATCCCGTGTTTTCAGAAGTTATATAACTGGTTTTGGTCTTCTCAAACTTATAAACAAGATGGAGTACAGAAAATACTATATCTAATCTTCCATATGTATATTTGCAGTTGCTACTTAATACATTTTGTTTTTTCTATATGTGGTTTCATCATATACTGTTGCTTTTGGGTCCTTAATGTCTCCATTATATCCATCTTGTCTCTGCATCAAATCCTTTTCAAGTGTTTGCACAATATAGCATGTAGCAACCACATGTCGGTTTCAGTTTTCATCGTCTACCAAAAGTTCAACTGGTTTCCGCTTCTTTTCAATCTATTGTCCTTTGATCTTGTGGCAGGCGAAGATATTCCATTATGGTTCGATAAGTCTTATCACTGAACCTTGCAAGTCTGCCCACATTGCTGCAGCAAAGGCTGCTAAGGATGCTGGTGTTATTCTTTCCTATGACCCAAACCTTAGGCTCCCATTGTGGCCTTCTCCAGACAATGCTAGAGAAGAAATCCTGAGCATTTGGGACACTGCTGATATTATAAAGGTTTTCTATATATGAATACATTTGAGTATATTATCTTTTCCTTTCGTTCTCAACTGAAAATTGTTGTCTCTGTTTGATAAAATAAAACTTCAAGATAAGCGAAGAGGAGATCGAATTTCTAACAAAAGGAGAAGATCCATATGATGATTCTGTGGTCCGCAAGTTGTTCCATCCTAAGCTGAAACTACTCCTTGTCACCGAAGGCCCCGAAGGCTGTCGCTACTACACCAAGGTGTGAAAAGTCCCTCTCTACTTTTTGATTTTACTACAGTTGTACAACTTAAAGCATATAGTAGTGAGAACTATGTATCCATTGTCTTTACACTCATGTTTAAAAGGTGAGATTTTTAAAAAATCTTGATACCGCAATGTGAGCTCATACCACGTAAAATCTTTTCCAATTTACAGGATTTTAAAGGGAGAGTGCATGGATTGAAGGTGGAAGTAGTGGACACGACAGGTGCTGGGGATGCATTTGTTGCGGGAATACTATCACAACTAGCATGTGATCTCTCCTTGCTTCAGGTAACTTCTTTCATGTTTGATAAGCAGATCTACTTGAGGAAGTTCTGGCTATATGTCTACTATAACCAGCCTAGGAGTGGAGGTAGCAAATTGTAGCGGTGTTGAGTTGGTTAGTGAGAGCTAGATTTACAAAGTTGTCTTGGTAGATTGTTCAAGATGATGGATATAAGAATAGCAGTTGCATAGCTTTGTTCTTATCAGAGTTATGCGTATACTGTTTTATGCTCATGACCACAAAAACACAGCTGAAAAAAGTGAGTTGTCTGACTCAGGACGAAGAACGACTGCGAGAGGCTCTAATGTTTGCAAATGCGTGTGGGGCCTTAACCGTAAAGGAGAGAGGCGCAATCCCAGCCCTTCCCACGAAAGAGGCTGTACTTGAGGCCCTGCTCAAACCTGTCGTCTAACATCACTGTACCAATATGAGAAACAATGTATGCAGCAGATTCCTTTTTTTTTTTTTTTTCAAATCTGTATTTGTTGTTGTTGTAATATAGCTGTATAATGTATCCTGCTACTGTTTTTATGCTAGTAAGTTAGTAACTAAGTCAGGAGGTATTTTTGAATATCTCTCTATTTTATGGAGTTAGGGATATATAGCAATGTAGAAAGAAGCAAAGCAGAAAGGTAAATCTGATTCATTTGGAGAATTACATATCAGAAACAGACCAAAGGTATGCTTCTCTCTCCGTTGCTTTATTCTTATTTCTCTTGTTCAACATATAATTCTCATATCCGTTACTGCGATGGACTCCATCCCAGTGTCTACCGGCTTTGATTCCATGCCGATTAGCTGCAGCCTCTAATCTTCTTGTTAACGAGCTATGCTTAGTGATATTTTGCGGTATAACAAACCCAGATTCTCTCATCTTCTCGTCGTCTCCTAGATCCACAAGAGATGATGGCTCGTGCTGCGTTTTCTTGACCAAATGAGCCATTGGATCTCCCCATCTAACTCTTTCCTTCATCTAACTCTGGTCCGAGCAAATGGCATCGCCTTCTCAAGCTCAAGTTCATGTAGTCTAGCTTCAGCTTCACGCTCCTGAGCTAAACCTTTGCACCATTCAAGTTCTTGAACCAGTTTTTCCGGCTTAGATTTAAGATATTCCTCCGTGGATATACGCTTCCCCGTGATCTTATCACGGAACACTGCTTCTGCATTCTGACCAGTTAGCTCTGAATCCATTTTCTTAAACCTCAGTTGTTCATCCTCCTTTTTCTTTCGATATTCACTTCCAATGTCTTTGCCACTGATTAAACCGGTCTTTTGTTCATCCTTGATTATTTGAAAAGAACGTTGAGGTGATAKAGAATGATATCGTCTTCTCCATGGATTCGTGGGGACTTTATCTTCAGGTTCTGGTGAAAGCGTGTCATTCATGGCTAATCTTTTGCGAGCTGGTGACAAATCTTTGAATGATTTGACTCCAGTTCTTGGAGAGGCCATCTTTAGAGAAGTTGAAGCCTAACTGATCGGAAAAAGAGATGACCGTAAATAGATCAGAAACCCCACCGTGAAATCTTGAATATACTACAGCTCGAGCACAAGTTCTAAGGTTTTCGATCTCAGAATTCCCTTGTTTGAATCATATATATAGATAGATTATTTTTCCTTTTTGTAAACCTTAAATCCAAAGATAAATAGAATTAGGACCTTACTAAACCCAAATATTCCATTTTTGTTTTTTTAATAACCAAACCTGTAGAATAAAATCTAAACCGGGTTTCTCAATAAGATGCTGATCATAAACATTTACACTACAAAGAAAGTCACTGATATAATATATATTTACACTCATCATCTTCTTCTTGCGACCATTACCTTCTTTAAAAACAATCGTATTCTTCAATCTCCGTTACTCCGAGCATCGCAAGCGCAAGATGACTTTTCATCTCAGATTTTGTCCGCGGATAACAGTCGATTATACCGGAAAGATTTGATTTTCTCCGGCTTGAAAGCATCCTTAGCTCTATTTTCCCTTCATCGCCTGTCAGGATCGAAAGAATCTCCTTCATCCCGGGTCTACGGGACTCTTCATCGATCACACAGGCTGCTGCAGCTCGGATCATACGATCCATCAAAGCCGAGTTTTTTCTGGTACATGTCAGCCTTGGATCAAGCAGCTCCTCTATAGCTTCCATTCCTCTATCCAACAACGGTTTCGCCTACGAAAGACATAAACAAAAATTTTGTTCCAGAAGCAATCCCTAATGCAATTCTCCTGAAGTCATTGATGCTACTAGAAGTGAAGCTGAAATGGTTATTAAACTACACTTGACTATCCCTATTTTCTCAGAAATACAGATTCTGGTAAGTCTAAACCCGTGTACAGCTTAAAGAGGTTGATACTCACTTAATCCAGAATTTGTAGCTCAACCAAGTTTGACCTACCTAAACACAAATTTAGCTGGCCAAGTTACAAATTAAATCAAATGGCATTTCTTGGCTGAGAAAATTAGGATTCGCTTTCCACTTTTAGTAAACAAGTAGGGGACTTGTGGAAATGAAGTTGCTACAACTACCAAAGTCAATAGGTTGGTTTACTAGTAGTTTATTAAGGAAGGAACCAAACATGAGATAGACTTACCCAAACTACCAAATTTTCTTCACCAGATGGTCTTCTTGCTTCAATTGGCTTCCGACCTGTTATTAGCTCAAGCAACACGACTCCAAACGCGTAAACATCGGTCTTGTCAGATATCTTGCCTTGTTGAAAATACTCAGGAGCCAGATAACTGCAAATAAATTCCAAAATTGTTTCACACTTTTAGATCCATAGGATAGGGATGACTTTATGGCATCAAAAAGGTTTTCAAGTTAGATACCCGAAAGTTCCTTTCACGGTCTTACAGAGGAAAGGAACCGAAGGTGCAGCTGTCCAAGTTGCTAACCCAAAATCACACAACTGAAAAAGAACCCAAACAAGGAATTGCGTTTCAACAGAACACCCTTAAGCCGATGAGTTACCAAAAAAAAAGTTGTCCAAGTTTGTGTACCTTTGGCTTTTTGTTTGATGAAAGAAGAATGTTGGAGGGTTTGATGTCTCTATGGACAACGCATTGCTCGGTGCCATTATGTAAATAAGCTATGGCCTCTGCAATGCCTAAGGCGATCTTGTACCTTGTTGACCAAGGCATACACAAGGGGGTCTTCTTACCCATTTTCTTCTTCTTATCTAATTCGAAAAAGCGTGCGAAAACCCGTCAACCCAATGATGGAGGAAAGAGAGGAGATATGCTGAAGTATAATTACCGTGTAGATAGTGTTCGAGGCTACCACCGGAGACATACTTATACACCAAGAAAAGCCCTTGTTCGGGATGCATACAGAACCCTAGAAGAGGCACAATGTTAGGGCTGTGAAGAGAGCTTGCAATCATCAACTCTCTGCAAAACGACTTTGGAGTTTCTTTATCTTCTTTATCAAGTCTTTTGATTGCCACAGCTTTACGCCAAATCCCTATTCTGCCTCTGAACACATAGCTGCAAGCTCCTCTTCCCAACACTCTCCCTAACCAAATTGCAAACAGAGAATCAAACTCCTCAACTTTTTTTTTCCAATTCAATGATCTAACATATCAAATTAGCTCCAAATTCACCTAAACGAATCCTATTGCTAACTGAAAAAAGGATATGAGAGGTTTAGGGTTTACTTTTTGAGAAATTGCGAGTGGCGGTGACGATTTCGCTGTAACTAAATCGGACCAAAGTATTTGTAACCGGAGAAATACTCTTCTCCAGCGAAAGAGCCGTCGACCAATGCATCTCCACCGTCGAATTCTCTGTCTCCTTAACCAGAAGAACCGTCGCTGATCCTTCAGACAACGGTTCTTCTCTGTTCATCTTCTCCAGCTCCACCTGCGAGCAAAGACTAAACCTAAATGACGAGTGTACCGAATATGGGTCTGAGTCCATAAGCTTCGGTCCTGTCTCCGCCAAAAGCCAAGCTTTGTTGTTGTGCTCACGAGAGCTCGAAGCTCTGGCTCGAGATGGGAAGAAACAAGCGAAGAAACCCAAATCAAGAATCATTTTTTTCAAACGGGCTTTGAGTTTTGGATCTTTGTAGCCTTTATCGATGCTCGGAGCTGAAAAAGTGAGAAGATTTATGGAATTTTCATGGGGATTTTTATTTCCTTCATAAAAACCCATTTCTTTCTCTAAAGAAGAATACAAATGAAATACCC